TGTTTACATTCCCCCCTTCCTGGACTTTTTTTTAGCTTGGCATCTTTTAACTCTTTAAATACTGTGTCAGAAATGTTTATCAGTACATTTTGTTTTCTTTTTAGTCTTGCAGTTTGGCATGCTGACATTGCATACAAGTGTTCTGTGTAGCTGAAGGAATTTCATTCACACGGGTGTTTGGTGCCTTATTATTGCAAATCATTTTAGGCTAATGTACCTCAAGAGAAACACACTGATCCTTTTAATTCTTTAATTAAGTTTAATAATAGAAATAGAAGCTTTGTGTCTAGAATGACTTGATAATTGATACCTGTTTGATAGCCCATTTGTAAAGTGTTGTAGTTAACTGAAACTGCCTAAACAGTGTTCATAAAATGAAATGACAGCACCCCTCAGTTTTGTTGTCCATAATAATAAATGCCAAGGGAGACTTTTAATAATAAAAGTCACCTACCTATATATCAGTATGAGAATGCTATTGCTATCAGTATTAATAGCAGCATTTTCTAACAGGCCTCTTTTTCTTGGAAGTTAGTTTTTAAAAGGGCATTGTTTGTTTGCATTTAGGTTTTGGATAGCTGCTTTAAATGGAAGATTTCTTAACTCAGGATTGCATTCTTTGTGACCAGCACAATGGTGCATACCTGTAATCCCAGCTGCTTAGGAAGCTAGTTGGAGGCAGGCCTGGGCAATTTGGTGGGTGGATTGTGCCTTAGTTGGTAGAGTGCTTGCCTAGCATATGTGAAGCCTGGAGTTCAACCCCTAAGATTACTTTCTTAGGTGTTACTTACTTTCTTGATTTGTTAGGTAATTTTTAAATAAAATTTAAACTTTTCAATAGGTATAGTTGCCTCCAAGGAAACTCTTGCTTTGTAAAATGTTGTTAGATATATAGTATAGATTCTAGATTCTCTGTAATTGGGTAGAGACTAGATTTTTCTTTCCTAAGAAAATGATTGGTTGATCAAAGGGAGACGTGACTAGTGAGTTGATTCTTGTTGTGAAAGCAAAAATAGGATTTCAACTGTTGAGTAAAGCTAAGTGAGGGCAGTTTATTTTTGATAAATTATAGCTGATAATTTCTCTGGACTTTCCAAAAATAAATGGGCTTAAAATGCTACATATTATGGTACCACTCTTGAGATTATTTGATATTTGACATCGTCATTTATCTTTACCTAGTAAATAGTAATTGGTGGAGTGATATAGAGAGATGCTCATTTTATTCCTATTCTCCTTGGGGGAAAATACTGGTTTACCACTGATCAGGTTACCTGCCTCTTATTAAGTATTGGTGCATTCAACCATAAAAGCTTATAATTTTCACTGTTTAAGGAAAACAAGACTATAATATTTGAAGATATTTAATTATGTTGTTGATGGCATGCCTCCTATTTTTGGTTTCTCCTTTTCTGTTCCTATTTTCAGACTTTAGGACAGTTTCTGTCTGGTGTATAGTGAATACTCTTATTGAACTGTTGAGTGAATGGCAAGGTCCAAGAGTCTTGGACTAGAACAACATTTTGTAATTATGTGGCAAAAGTTAGAAAGATGTTGATTGCTTTGAACTTCAGTTTTCTTAAGTATTTTGCATATTTTGAAAATTGCCTGTAATGGGCTATTATTTTAAATTATTTTGTGAGTTTTAGGGGAGAAAGTACAATAGACACACCATTTGGTGTTACAATTTAGTTCATAGAATGGATTTGTTTACTTAGAAAGGGTATTCAGTACATGCATCTTGTCAGCATTCGTGAACAGTAGTCAATTCAGAGAATTTTTTGTGAATTTAAAGTTTCTAAAAGTCAGCATAAAAGTTCTTGGATGTGTGAGTTCATCCTGTATTTTGATCAGTTCACTGAATTAGGTTTATTTTTCAAAGAATTTTTTTTCATGTAGCAGAAATGGAAGGTATAATTAAAAAATACAATGGTAATTTACTGTTTCAGTGGTGGTTCTGATGATAATGTTAATAATAATTAACACTTGTATGTTGTCCACTACTAGCCAGACAGTGTTCTAAGACATGGTTTAATCTTTACAACAACCTTGTTAAATAGGCATTAGTATTCCTATCAGACATCTGAGAAAACAAGTAACAGCTAATAAGTGATAGGGCTGTGTCCTGACTCTTAATTATTGTGATGAAATATTGAACACTTACCTATACCCCAGATTGTTTATATATAGTGGGTAGGTTTCACGATATCCTTGCAAGATATAAGTTAATTTCTATTTATTTTCCAGTTAACTCTGGGAAAGTGCATGTTAGAGAGCTTAGGTAATTTTTCCAAGTATACTTGGAAAAATGGAATGTAGAAGGTTGGTATTTGAACCCAGGCCTGTATGGCTGATAATCTTTATGAAAGTTTCATTTTGACATACTAATTTTAAGCTGTATATTTTATATTATTTGGAGGGTATAATTAAATCAGCAAATCTTAAAACTTTCAGCTACCACATAGGAGAAATAATGTCCCCTTGTTCTGTACTGTTCCTTTGAACATATACAGGATTATTATTTATTTCCTACTCACTAGCCATAGCTTCACTCCTTTTCCAGTCATGCAAATAAATGGAATGTAAATGAGTGATATTTGTAAAACTTTCAAAACAGGGAAATCATTCTTAGAATTTTGATTCTGTAATTATATACATTGTTGACATGCGTTCAGGTAATCTAGATTATACTGAACACCAGTTTAGGTCAAATATTTTTAGAAAATATTTATTAAAGAAAAAAATTATGACATTTCCCAGATTCTGTTATTCGGGGGTTATTTGTGCCATTTCTCTATTCTCAGGGTAATAGAGAATTGAATGCACTAAAGTTTAAATTAAAACTGAGATTTACTAGGTCTCGAAAGAGACTTTTCTCTGTGTGTGTGTGTGTGTGTGTGTGTGTGTGTGTGTGTGTTTTCAACCCAGGGCCGTGTACAAGTTAGGAATATATTCTACCACTGGGCTACACCCTTGGAAGATTTATGTGGTTTGTTGACTTATACTTTTAGAGATTCTTCTCATTGTAAAATTTTATTACCATATATATGGGCAAAAATATTGCATTTAATTGATAACATGAAGATCCTCAGATTATAAAGTGGGAATAACACTCTCTTTCATGTCTTAACATTGTTGTGGAATTTTTGTGTTTATTTCTATGTAACAAAATAGGGAAGGCAGGAAGACATAATTTCCTTGATACCTGGCACAATATTTGGTATATGGATTTTTATTAATTGCTCAAATAGTTATTGAGCAACATATTATAATGAATAAAACATTCATGGTCCTTCCTTATGGTAGAAGATAGAGAAAAGTAGACACTGCAATTGCACCGAGAATATGTTACCAGAATACCCACTCTTAAGGAATCAAGATAAACCCTCTTCCACTTTGTATTAAATGCCACCTAAACTAAGACTTGTATAGTAGACTGACCAATCCAGCAAAAGGGAGAATGAGGGGCTGGATTTGTAGCTCAGTGGTAGAGAGCTTTCCTAATATGGGTGAGGCACTGGGTTTGATTCTCACAAATAAAATAAAGTTATTGTGTCCATCATCAACAACAACAACAACACACACACACACACACACACACTCTCTCTCTCTCTCTCTCTCTATATATATATATATATATATATATGAGAGAATGAATGGCAGTATGAAGACCAAAAACCTTAAGATGAGAGGTCATGTTAGAAATTGATACTGGCTGTGTTTGACTGTAATGTGGAATGTAAAGTAGGAATAGGAAACATGAAATTAAAGAAGTAAACCTTAGGACTGTATGCAAGAGTCATGTTAACAAATTCAGTTCATTTTGGACTGAAGGCAGTGGAGAAATCATTCTAGGGTTTAACAGCAGAGAGTAAAATACTATTTTTGAAAGATTTTTCTGCTTTTAGGGAATTAGGGTGAAATAAGATTGGATACAGAAAGAAAATTAAGAGCCAGTTTTCAGAGTTTAGGAAAGAATTGATAGTGATTTATACTTTTGATAAAAAGGGAATGGTGTTAAATTGATAAGATTTGATGATTTAATGGGTGTGGGTAGTTTCACCCGAAGAGCTGGGAGCACTTTTTTATGTAAAGTTGATCCTGCTGTGTGGGTGGAGGCTAAAATAGACGTTTTCAAATAAGTGTTTTCCCTTAACTTACTACATTGTTAGTCATTGATTATAAGCTGATCCACCCCAAAATAGGAATATCAGGCTGGAGACTCATGAGACCTCCATGAGTCATGTATTCAGTTTCCACAGAGCTCAGATGCAAGCTAATAACTACTTTTCAAAAGTACCTGATACCTGTTCAGGGAGGCAGAGTCTAAAAGTCTAAGGATCACCTCCAGGTGGAGACTCCCTCCATTTGCTATATGCTTCAGTCAGTAAAATCCTGAGTCACTGAGACAGGTAGCTTAAAATGGTCATTAGGGTTGTGGGGCTCGAAATTAACACTTTTTTACATATGACCCATCCTGATTGGAAGAACCTTTCTGGCATTATAGACAGGAAGGTATAAGTATATAACATATCCATCAGTTCCTGCTACAAATTAAGATATAGAGATAATGACAGTACTTTAGACTGACCCAAAGAGCCCCACCCATATATCACTTTTGCTTCCTAAACCATTGGAAACCCTACCCAAATCCTACTAATTGAATCTGAATGTCTTCTCTCCCCTAAGATCAGGTAGACTACTGACCTGGATGCCTTATCCAAGAGAGCTGTAACATTTTGAGTCCTTCTCTAAAGTTTCCTGGGCAACCTCAGATGGTTGTGGCTGGCTTTCAGTCAGTCCCTCCTATCCCTAATCATATTTCTTCTTAAAGAGTTTGAGTGTCTGGAAGCAGAAAGAAATCAGAATATGGAGAGAAATCAGCTCTGCCGTAATCAAGGCGTTGCATTCACTTTCAGTCATTCCCACTCAATTCAACCAAAGAAATTTCTAATGCCTTTGGTCACTAGAAGATATATAATTGGCAGTAAGGATAACATTACTTCTACCTTTTATTTTGCTCGAGGCATTTCTTAACTTCGTAGTCCAGTTACTTTTTACCTGGTCCATGAGGCTAGTTTCATTGTGGATTCATCCTTTACTCCTCAAGTCCAAAAGAGAATGAACAGCCAAGCCACCATTTGGGTTGCCAGTTTCAATTTTACTTCTCTTACTGCTCAGTTTCTAAACATTATTACTTCAGATTCTGTAAATGAACAGGTAGATTTATTTATTTATTCCATTCATTTGGGTCAACGTATACGAGAATTGAGAGACTTGGAAATGTAAACTAATCTAGCTCTGGTGGAGCGACTTTTAAATTGCTAGTGGGTAAAAGTAGGTGCCTGGGTATGTACACATAAATAATAACAGATCCCACTGTTGTGTTTTATAATGCTCCAAGAAAAGGGGGGGAAAAATGTGCCTGAGAATCAAGAACTGAAGCATTTTGGAAATAGTCTTCATGATAATCAAGATTTCCTATATTAAAATGTGAATGTAGTTAAATTAAAGCTTTTCCTTTTATTTATAGAACAGTTTGTTGAAGTAGTATTCAAAATACGTAGTCTGGGGTTGGCAGACCTTTGAAATGGGTGTGCCAAAGTTCACTGTGGTATGTGTGATGGTGACAACTGGCCAGTATTCTTTGGCATGTGGTGCTGATCCTTCCTAGTATTCTATTAACATGTATAATGTTTGTCTTTTAAGAACTTTATTTTAGCTGATCAATGTTCTTTTAAATCCACTTTTAAAAATAGTGCATGTTGTTTTGTTTTCATAGATTTTTAGTGAAATTAAATTTCTTAAAACCATTTTCAGTTTGCCTTGTTTAGATAGGGAGATAACCTGTGCATTTAGATAATTTATTTTTATTTTTTATTTTTTTTTGCTACTGGTGATTGAATCCAGAGCCTCACACATACTAGGCAAGTGCCCTGCCTCTGAGCTATATCCCCAGTCCTATTTAAATAATTGTTTTTAAAAAAGAAACCCTAAGCACTTCAACATTCTTCCCAATTGAGGATGTTTTCATGAAATCCTATTACTGTCTCCTGCTCTCAGATCTCTTCTTAGATCTTTGGGTCCTATAAGAAAGAGACAAGCAAATAGGTTTGTATAATTGATTTCCAGTATTGCAGGAAACTATCCTGAGTCATGAAGAAGAATTAAGCAAATTCCCTAAGACAATTTATTTCATAAGTCTTTCCCCTATCAACATTCCTTTGCTCATCAAGTCTTGTAGCTAATCTTTATATATGTCCTTTATCCTAATCCTCTTTAAAATGGGAACTATATGTAGATCACTTTTTTTTTTAAATTTATGTTTTAGTTGTAGGTGGACACAATATCTTTTTTTCCATTTTTATGTGGTGCTGAGGATGGAACCCAGGGCCTCATGGGTGCTAGGCAAGTGTTCTACCATTGAGCCACAACCCCAGCCCCTGCATGTCACTTTTTAATGAGTAAATCGAAAATACTGGACTGCTAGGAAGGATTCACTCACTATTTGCCACTAACCTCTTAAGATGTGACCCTTCTGGATTTCTATCCAGAGAAGGTTCTGAAATATGTTTGGGTAGTTCTCTATTTTTAGTCTCTAGTATAGGCGTGTACAAAGGTGTAGTACACATCTGAGTGTATTTTTGTTTCTGTATAGTTAAATTCATATTAAGATTATGTGTAGCTGGAGGATATAATGTAAAAGAAACAGGTGATTGTTTTAGTCTTTCTTAGTAAAGATCTGATGCTAGTAAATTAGGTAAAAAAGATGTACTTAAAATTTTTTTTGCTAAAATGTAGAAAGTAAAATCGTGTAGTTTTGATAGTAGAGATAAATGGTATGTGTATGATTTTGGTATGCCATTTAAGTGGACATTTTCATTTAAAATAGTTATATCATTGATTTTTGGCTTTGGCTTCTAGGAAAAACTCAGTACTTCCTTCAATAAACATAGTTACAAACCAACTTTAAAATTGTCTTTTAAAAAAGTTTTATTGAGGTATACTTTATATTTGTGCTGTTCATCTTATTGTGTTGTAAGAGTTGGCTCTAAGCTCTTTATCAGATATATTGTTTGCAGATATTTTTCTCTTTCTGTGACCTATCTTTTTGTTATCTATCTATTTATTTTGCTAGGCTGAGGATTGAACTCAGGGTCTCAAGCTTGCTAGGCAGGCATTCTCTCTCTGAGCTATAACCCTAGCCCTTTTTATCTTAATGATGTTTTTTGAGGTATGAGGGTTTGAATTTTGGTGGACTCCAGTCTATTTATTTTTAAGAATGGTGCTTTCAGTGTCATATCTAAGAAATCTTTGCCTAACCAGAGGTTACTCCTGTGCTTTCTTCTAAAAGTTTTGTTTTTAGTTCTTATATTTAGGGCTATGATCCAGTTTTTTAGTTAGCTTTATAGTATTGAGGTAAGTTCCTAAGTCCAACCTTTTACGTTGGATATCCAATTGTATCAGCACCATTTGTTGAAAAGACTGTCCTTTGTTGAATTGCCTTAACATCCCTGTTGACAGTCATTTGATTACAGATGAATGGGTTTATTTATGGACTTTACTGTTTGTTTCGTCTGTGTCTTTCCTTTTCCTACTATGACATGGCTTAATGATTGTAACTTTTGGTGGCAGGGGTAACAAGGGATTGAACCCAGGGATGCTTAACTGCTGAGATACATCTCTGTCCCTTTTCATTTTTTATTTTGAGATGCAGGTCTCATTAAGTTGCTTAGGGCCTCACTAAGTTACTCAGGTTGGCTTTGAACTTGTGATCCTCCTGCTTCAGCCTCCCAAGTTATAGGAATTACAGGAGTGTGCCACCACACCAGACTTGATGATTGTAACTTTTCAATCATATTTTAGTAATCAAAGTAATTTCTTGTAAAAGTATACACTCATTCAAATAAAATAGAAATAGGAAAGCAAAAATCACTGTCTAGGTAGTCACTTGATGACCATCTTTCTAGGCATCTTTACTCATGTATTCATATTATGTGAAAACACACACAC